AAATGTGCACTCTGCATAAAACACTTTGTTGGCCTGATAGCTGTTGGATCAGAAAACTTTTCAATAGTGCTTTCAGAAAGCAGTTGTTCATGCCTGTAATCCTTGTATTCAAGTGGTCTATCAGCATTTGTCTGGAAAAGCACATCTTCATGAAATATGTTCTTCCTTAAAAAATCTGGGTTGGGTGAGGGGCAATTGGTCATTCTTCTGGTAGATGGAATAACAGAAGGTTAGGAATATTTCACTTTTTAGTTGGACACAATTCTTTCCTGTTTCTGCCTTGCTAATCCATAGAAGCCATCAAATGCATTCAAGACTTTGTCACACTGACTACTTCTGCATGCTTCATCTTCATATAAATTTATACTGAACTGTGGCATGAGTTAGTATGTTACCATTATGAAATTCACCAGCACATAGAGGCAGAGTACTTCCTTTGGGTTTTGATATTTGCCAAGTTTTTTCTATCTGGAGATGCATATTAAACTTAAAGTGCTTAGAGTTCACTATCCTGCACACAGCAAGTTACTTTTCCACTGAGTTAATGAAGGGGACTGCTTGCTTCCAAAAGGTTTGAAGATGCCTGTTTCTTGCTTAGCTAAAGGAAGCCATGCTAACATTGAAACTGGCCCCCTCTGTAATCATTAAAAGTCAAGGACTATAACTGTACACAAACCTCTAAAAAAAACCCCCCAACAAAACAACCAAAACAAAACAACAAAAAACCCCAAACAAACAAAAACACAAAAAAATCTACCCCAAAACCTCAGCTTACTTTATTGTATATATTGCATTTGGAACAGGCAAGAAGATGGCATTAAAAAAACCCCAACAGAACAAGAAGATCTTGGTAAGCCTGCCCAGTGGCAGGGTAGTGCTGTCTGCATGTTTGCCACCGGTGTGGCAAATGCAACACAATACCCGTGAAATCTGGCCCCTGACATTAGCAGCAGGTACCTGTGCTATCAGAACATCACCATTGCAAAATTAGTCTGGGCCAGAAGTGGGTTTGTGGTACAAATTTGAATTACTTTCCTGACAGAAGGTTTGTGCTGCTTTCACATTAGTTGCAGAACAACAGACATAATGAGACATATGATGCCACATAAAGCATTCTAGCATGAAGTTTATCTGGCAAAACAGGTCAAATGCATTTGGACCTATAAATAAATTCCTATCAGACTAGTGTTTTACAGCATGTGGCTGGAGCACTTTCATCCTGACACAGAGAACTCCTAAGTTAGGATTATTTTAACACTAAATTGTTGCTTCAGCCTGTACCTGTAAAACCAGATGAGAAAAACATCCCCAGAATGAGCCATTTCCCTTGAAGTAAATAGAACTTTGTATGACTTTGGGTCTTTGTTATTGCTAATTTAGTAATGCTTTAATCTGGTTTGTCAATGTCCAATCTGTAGATTGCTTTGTGTCTTGGACATTTTTTTGTCTGACATCTTGGAAACCTCAGTAACAATGTCAGCAGATGGAGAAAAGTATCTTCCTTTGAAATACCCATATTGCCTTAATTTGGGTTGCTTCTGCATCTTAAATCTTATGTCTTCCTTCCTTAACTTGAAGCACAATTTAATTAGTATTTGAAAACCCAATATATCACAACTATGTCCAAGAGCTATATGATTTTCATTAGATATTGTGATTAGTCACATCTGAGACTTCAAAATGAATTAGCTTCTGTAAAACTCACATTGCAAACTCTTAGCCTCAAGACATTCTCCTCTAATTGCTCATCATTTCACACAGATACTAGCAGATGTTTTAGCAAGAAAGATTGGTTCACGCAAGACACTAAGCTGTGATTAACAGGGTCTTGCAACACTTGTTGGTTACACAGGTTTGTGTGCTTTGCTATAATCAGGTGTTTTCCATCTCTTGGCTGCAAGATTCTGGTGCCACAGTTGGGGAACAGGAAGGTGAAATTACAAACAGCTGCCAGCTCCGAGCCAAAGTACAGCCTGGGTTTATGGGCTCTGAGGCTCATCTCAGCTCAGCTCAGCTGGGAAAGAAGTGGAATAGAGAAAAGAATTACTCTTTGGCAGTATTGTCCAAGTGATGGTTTGGATGTGACTAGGTACATGGTGAAGACAGTGCTGTGATGCCCAAGTGCTGCTCACCAGTCCCTTAGGGTCAGTTTCCTCTCCGCTTCCCTCAGACTTCCCTCATTAGTCTCTGCTGCTGAATATATTAACATGATGTTAATGTGCTCTGTGTGACTTAGCAACTCCAAGTTTTCCGGTTGCCGTAGTACTCTTCAAATCAGGTCCAAAGGCAAAACAAATATAGAAACAAGGCAAGCTCTGAGGATTAGAGCTTCTTGAAAAATAACTCCACAACAGATCTAATGATAGAAGAATGCAATTTGATAAGTACAGAATTGGTGGGTGTGTTGTTTTTTTTTTCACTAAAGACTGAAAACATGGTTTGTGAAGACAGCTGGCTAAACAAGGATGAAAGTCATCGAAGGCTTATGAAGTTTACCTCAAAATATTTACTATCAATTGCTGGAACAAGCGTTTGACCTGCTCTAGAAAACAGTGTTTCAGAGAAGAGCGTGTGCCTAGAAAGGAATTGCATCCTCTTGCTTGTATGCATACCTTCACTAACAAAATCCTAGAAGATGCTATCCTTGAAAGTATAAGAGAGCAAGAACTCCTATGACAGGAGCAGAAAGAAAGACTTAGGATGCAGTAGAAATGGAAGAGCAGACATAAGGGTCAGAGGAACAATCAAATATAATAAGACAGTTCAGTCAACTAGAAAGCAAAGAGTGAGGGTAGGATAATAGACACAGATAAACATAGGCAGCTGAGCAGAATACAAAACATTTAATTACAATATTTTTCAATACATAGCTCAGAGTCACCTGAAGTATGCAGAGGCCCAGTTCAGGAAAACCAGAAATATTTCATCACAGACTGCTCATGTAATCTCTAGTATTCTCCACCACAGAATGTGGCATGTGGGAAAAGTTCCCATACGTTCACAAACTGCTTTAAACATGATAGAGAAAACTCAGTTGATGGATGTTAACTACAAAAATACCATCTTTCACTCTGGAAGACCATTGGTCACATGCCAAAAAGTGCCAAGAGCAGTCTTTAGGGGAAGAATCATTACTTAACTGCCCATATATATATGTACATCTTCCCTACATGTCCACTACTAAGTCTTAGACAGGGAGTAGAGAGATTTTTGATCTGATCCAGTGCATGTACCCACATGAGGGCTGGCTCATACAGAAACAACTGAAGGTAGCACTAATAGTTGAGGAAAGACCAAGAAAACTTGCTCTATAATCAACAGGAGGCTCCCATTGACTGAATAAAGGTTAAGGCTGCCCTTGGAGAAACAGCCATGTCAGTATCGAATATGCTTCCTACCATCCAAGGAATGGGATGCAACAGCTGTCCCTGCGTGCCATCACCCTCTCCAGCCTGCCACTGGGATCATTTGCTGGGTATGGGGGGGCTACTACAGCACAGCCAAGCCTGTCAGAGACCTGAAGTTGTTCAAGAGTAGTGTCTGGCTTCATTAAGCCCCAAAACAGGATGATAAATGACAGGGACCAAGCCCTATATTCTAAAATGAGCTCAAAACTGGGAATAGGTACTACTCCAGTTAAGTCTGGAACAGGCATTCTAAAAGTTGTGCATAAATGGGTATCTCTGGGCATTCTTGTTCAGCAGTGCACAGGAACGTGTTGTGAAGGTTCTCCTGGATAAAATGCAGCTTTTCCTGCCACTGGGTGGGAGCTGAGGAGCAGAAATGGATGTGCACCTGCTGAAGCCTGGTAATTCCTCTCACTGAAAGCTGTGGTGCAGCTGAAGGGACAGTGCTGTGCTGTGCTGGGTGGGCCAGATGTGGGAGGCACATGAGTAGATGATGAGGCTCTACCCAGCCACCCACTGCTGCCCAACCAGGGAGAGAATGGGAAGAGCCAATCACAGAATTGTTAGTCCTGGAAGGGACCTCTGGAGATCATCTAGTCAAACACCCCTGCCAAGGCAGAGTCACCTAGAGTAAGTGCCCAGGTGGGTTCTGAATGTCTCCAGAGAGGGAGACTCCACAACCTCCCTGGCCAGCCTGTTCCAGAGCTCTTCCACCCTCAACATAAAGAAGCTCCTTCTCATGTTGAAGTGGAACTTCTTGTGTTTTAATTTATGACCGTTGCTCCTCATCCTGTCACTGGGCACCACCAAAAAAGAGTCTGGCGCCATCCTCTTGGCACCCCCCTTTGAGATATTTATACGGATCTATGAGATCAAATGCTGGTGCCCAGCCCGGCTGCATCCTGCCCTGGAGGGTGTCTGGGCATCCTGCTGCCGAACAGCCTCCCAGCAGTGCACATCAGAGGGCGCCCCGCGCTGATCGACCTTAAACGTGCGGGTCTGGGGCTTTACGTCGGTTTGGTTTCCTTTGTTTTATGGCGGCACCCTGGGCCTTGTCTCTTGTGAAACTGCTGTAAAACAGCTCTAAGTGTAGGCAGGTTGCCCCCGGCGGGGCGATTGCTGCACATGGCAGCGCCGGCTCATGGCTGGCAGTGAGGTGCCCGTCCCTTCCCTTCCCCTGCCCCGCCAAGGGGAACATGTCTCCGGTTTGTGAACGAGAGGGTTTCCCCTCCCGGCAGTCTGGCAGCCGCTGCCCCAGAAGACCTGGCTCTGGGGTGTCCCAAATTGTCCCGCTCGCTTCCTCAGTGGGACCCGTGAGACACCTTCTCTGTGTGGACATTCTCGTCAGCGAAACTGCCCGGCCACAAACCGGCAGAGGCGGTATCTGCCGGCGGTCTTGGCTCGCTCTGTCCCTCGCATCGTTGGATTTTACACTTGAGGCTCTGAGAGTAAGTGAAAAGTCCCATGTTCCTACCATCCCACTGCACGTGAAATGCCGCTGAATGAGCTCACAGGTTTCCTGGTTTTCCCTTGTTGAGAAAGAACGGCAGATAAAGCTGAAGAACACAGTGCTGCACGTGGTTAATGGTTAACGAAAGAGTGCAGAGTGAGCACAGCAGAAGTGAAGACCAGATAGTCACTGGAAAATCCTTATAAATTTCTTGAGGTTAAAATTCCTTAGCCACTTCTGGTAACGTCTTCCTCACAGGGTGGGAGACTATAAGAGAACCACAGAAAATACCTGCTTCCAAGGTACCTGGAAAAGGAGTGAAATCTCTTAACAGGTAAGGATAAATTCGGTAATGTCTGAAAGTCGAGTTGCCTCTGCACTTTCACCAAATAATCTGATCCAATGAGTCCACATAATGTGTTAAGTATTAAACTAGTCAGCATTTAGAAGTGCAGCATAATATGCTAGATGTAAATCTATTTTAATTGACATGTGCTTTAAGCCAATTTTGTTGAAACTTCATGAATTCTTGACTATATTTTGAAATCAAAACTCTGCAATTCACAACATTTTTAAGGGAGTCTCTTCTTAACTGCTTCTAAAAATTGACTTGAGGTCACTGCTGGTAAAGTGAAGAAGCCTGAACGGGTGGCAGTAGATCTAAGTGATGGTATACTGGGCAGTCTTGGAGCTGAATCCCAGTTGACAAGGTAATTTTATTAACCTTTTCAAACTTGATCAGAAAAAAAGTTATTATTTGTTTGAAAATTTAGTTCTCCTAGTCCTGTAGCTTTATTTCATTGTAATAGCGTCACATTAGTCTTGTCCCCTTGTAGAGGTCCTGTTTATGACACAGGGACTGGAGCCATCCCCATAAATTTACACTACAATTTTACGTGGGCTAAATGTGAAACAGCAAAAATTACTTCAACGCTGGTAGGGTTCAGAGAGCAAGAAGATAATGAAATTGGAACTACCATTCATAAATATAAAATTGGAAAAGGAAAGGTGGAATAAAATGACAGTTTTTACCAATTACCATTTACATTACAGAAATTTTCTGTTGTGTCAATGGTAAATTAAAGGGGAAAAAAAAGATATTCCAATAAAAGTGTGATGAAAAACAAGTTTCCCATATAACTGTGATACATGCTGAAAGGTTTCCTTGGGTGCGTGACCCTTGATGGAAGAGCATTCTGGCATTCGAAGTGTGGATCCCCCACCAGTGCATCTCCAATTCCAGTGAGGAAACTGGAATTTCTTGCAATTTTGCATGAATAGGGGATTTACTGAGACTAAGGGTGTGGACTGTGGATTTTTAATTATACAGCTGTGTCCTTGCTGCACACATGGTGGGGTAAAACTGTTGTTTCACTGGTAAAATGGAGACTGTCATCTCTCCTGTGTGTCTTGTACTGTGAAGACAGTAGCATGAAATACCAGGACTCGCGTAGGTAGAAGTTTAGAAGATATTATGGAAGTTCTGATAACAAAGAGGTTGCTGAAACCTCATATTTGAGAGTAAGGAGATGGAACAGGGCAGTTCTCAAAGGTTGCTGCAAGCTGGCACATCGTTCACAAGATTATAGTCTTGTGAAAGTGTGGAAAACTTGAGATATATTTTGCCTTGCCCCATTGCCAATCAGCTGGCTTCTGCTGAGCACATGGGAAGTGTGCAGAGCCAAGACAAGCTGGTGAGGGGATGGGTAACGGTGGCTGAGATGGTGTGTTGTTTCACCGTAATGAAAAGAAAATTGCTAAATGTTGTTTAAAGCTGTCAGAGAGTTTCTTTGAATGGTCAGTTGATACGTATCCATGGGAAATTTCTGTGTTGCTTCAGCCGTCCCTTTAGTGTATGTTTCTTACTCTGTTTCTTCCATTATACATTAAAAAGTGGTCACTTCATTCTTCTGAGGCACAAAAAATTATATATTTTTCAATCAGAGGTAATACATTGTGTAATCAGCAAAATATATGGCCAACAGTATTTCATAATTCCATCACTGGTAAGTGAAAAAAAAATTAGTCCAACCTGTACAAAAAACCTTAACGTACTTCGAGCATATCCTAATCACAATCCTGTTATTCATCTCAACTAATTCTGTTGCCTCTGCATATATGCAGTCCTCCAGTGTTTCTCTGTCCCTATCTAGCTAATGTTCGTGCTGCTTACATATTTTATCTTCTGGCAAAGATGTATTACCTGTAGCAAACATTTGGAATGCAGCAACTGTCTTGTTGTACATTTTTCACCTTCTTTCTTGATCCTGTGTAAATTGTATCTTCGTCTATTCAAAACCAAATAACTAAATAGGAGAAGAAATGTTATGATAAATAGTCATTACTTGAAAGGTAAATTGGGATTTTAGTATTGGGTTCTTAGAGAGCTGGCAAGAGCATTGTACACTTAAAAGATTGTTCTTACAGTTTACTATTAAATAATAACATTTTTCTCCCATCTTGTCTTTGAAAGGAACATTTGGTTTGAAAATTGAGGGAAAGTTTGTTAAGCTTTGTCAAGATGTAGTAGAAATTAGTTTTATCCTTCCTGGTTGTGTGTTTTCAAAGGAATTAGATGGTTTCTAGGGAGTCAAATGTAGTTTAATGCTGCTGTTCTTATATTATGTCAGATGTATTACTTTATTCCTGAATATATTCTTTACAATTTCAAAGGCAGACGGTGAGAGAGATTCTGTCTCTAAGAAGATGATGACTGATGTGAGGATTAATGGCAGCACATGATATTTTTTTCATTGATTCTTTATCAGTGAAATGCCATGCCGTAAGTCTCAGTGTAGGAACATGGGATGATTTGAAGGCAAAGATGTGATACCAGTGCTGTGTAACCTATCAAACAGTCCCTATAGAGGATGTTATCTCCCCCCTGTTACATACAGCCTATCTCTACAAGCCTTGGTATGAAGTAGAGAAGTTAGGAAGATTCTGAAGTGATTTGAACAAAGATAACATGGAAAGGTTTCTGTCACTGAAAGGAGGATAAGGAGAGAGGACATGGTACTCTTCTGATCTTAACACTGGAGACAATGGAAGCCATAATAGCAGCAACTGTGCATTTCAGTAGAAGCTGCAATCATAATAATCCTAAGCTAGCGTTATTATTAGCATTTCAGAGTTTCAAGCCAATGGTGCCAGACTTAGGTTTGTGACATTCCTTATGCTTCAGAAAATTCTTTTTTTTTTTATACCGAGTACCGTCTGACTGCTAGGGTTATGTCAATCTCTGGTGTCAGTGTTACTGTCATATAATTTGGAGTTCAAGGGCTAGAGCAGCACGTTGAAATACATAGAAGGAAACTGCAAAAAGGAAGGGAATAATCTCTTCCTGCTTAGTGGACAGGATGTAAATAACAGAGTAAATCTGGGGGAAATAGACATCCTAGAAAAAAAAATGCGCTGGAGTGTATTGTTTAGGGAAGCTATAAATTCAACATCAGTGTAGTGCTCCTGTTAAGTTGCTTATAACACTCCCCTCTGTTTTGGCCTCATTTGTACTCAGTTGTGCTGTTGACAGATTGTTTCATTTAGATGAAAAAGACTTCACAGTTTTAGATTTTTTCTCTGACACATGACAGTGCAGGTACAGTTAACATGATGTAACATAAAAAGAAACAAGCATCATTACTGTGACTACTTAGTCATGTAAAAAAGCAAGATGGGAAATTACAGAGATACTGCATATGGTGCTTTCTGCTTTTAAAAACAATCTGAGCTCATAAAAATAGAAAGCATCCAGCTAATTGTAGAACCAGGTATATAAATTTCAAGGCGTATATACGTTTCCAGATACATGGGACACTCTGAAGGCTGCTGAAATGCCAGCATGCTGGGGAGATGGCTGGCAGACACCTTTTCATCTCGGACAATACCCTAAACAAAGTGATCTTTCAATGGGGCTGATATTGTCCCTTTCTGTGCTGTTTCTTTAAATGGGGGGAGAGAGAATGAATGCAAAGGATTTAGGAGGAGGTGACATTTCTTTAATGGCATCCTGTAGATGCATTATCTCACAGAGACCTTGTTCTTTGTATCTCACTCTGATTAGCACGAGTCTGTGCAGTTTTGAAATGCTTGGACAGTTTCCCTGAAGAAATACATGTGCCTTCCAGCAGCTTTAAATTGCTCTTGATATGTTTGATATCCTTGTACATCTGCAAACCCATCAGAATCTTGCTGAGTTTTTGACTGTAATTCTTTCTGTGGTAATTATATTTTCTGCAGTTTTAACCACAAATGATGTGAAAAAGTGTTTCCCTCTGTCTGTTTTTAATCTACTCTCCTTAATTTCCCTGAGTAATTTCTCTTGGGCTTTTAAAATTTGAAAAACAGAAAGAAGTTCTTTATCTTCTCCCTTTACTCTTTCATTCCCTTATCCTTTCCTTGGTTTCCCTCATGTTGTTCTGTTTTCAAAGCTATCCAGGTCCACTCATTTGAATCTTCCCTAGAGGAGGGCATAAGTGGCTTTGAAGAAAAATCTTCTCTTACACTTCAGGAGGGCAGTGAAGCAAGCGTCTTTGAAAGTGAAAATCTGAGAGAATATTGAATATTCCAGAACTGTTCCAACAATTGATCGAAAGTCCCTAGAATATTTTTCATATAATTCACTGACTTGTTCTTACTCGATCCAAAATTCTTGCTATTCTCGATCATACTACTTACTAAGCAGTTTTCATTCAACAGTGCCACCAAGATTGCTTAGACTAAGTCCATTAGTTTGACCCTTAAGATATTTTCCCCCCTTTGTATGCTGTTACTTCAGAATTAATGTTGAGCTTCCTGCAACTCTATACTGACTATTCAAGAGGTGACATTCCTAGCTCTCCTCCCCAGTTTCTATGGCTGCATCTTTATTAGGAAAAGAAAAAGAAGGGGGAGTGAGATGGGATGGTGAGATGATACCCTTTCACTGCAAGCTTTCATATCTTACTAACAAATATAAAAGCCCCCAGGTATTCCGACTTTCATGTATTTTAGGCAGCTGAGATAGAGAAGTCTAAGAGACCTCCTTGGCAGGAACTGTGATTGAGATGGGACATAGAAAGAATGGACCAGGAGGAATATTCATTGTAGTGATGGGTCGTGACAGGTCTGAGATGGAAGATGATGAATAAGCCTGTACTATAACCAGATAAACTAACATCTAAGAGAATTTGTGGGAGAGAAAGAGGAATATTGTGTGTATTTCTCTTAAAAGGACAGGCCAAGGATCTGGCTCTCAGAGGTGACTTAGAGGGGATCTCATCAATGTCTATAAGTATCTGAAGGGAGGGTTTCAAGAGGATGGAGCTCTTCTTCATGGTGCCGAGCAATAGAACAGGAGGCAACAGGCAGAAACTGAAGCACAGGAAGTTCCACCTGAACATAAGGAAGAACTTCTTTACTGTGTGCGTGACTCTACCCTGGAACAGATTGCTCAGACAGGCTCTGGAGTCTTTCTCACTGGAGATATTCAAGAACTGACAGGACACAATCCTGTGCCACATGCTCTAGGACAGCCCTGCTTCAGCAGGGAGGCTGGACCAGATGACTCACTGTGGTCCCTTCTAACCTGACCCATTCTGTGATTCTGTGGTCTGTTGCCCATGGTTACTGACACATACTGAAGGTGTTTTGTAAGATGATAATATTTTCTGCTGAAGTATAAAAGACCAGTTAATTTTACAGAATTTGCATAGGAAGTGGAAACGCCCAG